CGCACAAAAAACCGCATTAAAATAAGTACAACCATCACAACTATACAGCAGAATTAGAACTTTAACCCATGACTTCACTCTATTCAACTTCAATACTAGATATACACCCAATCACAAAACACGAATTTTTCAGGAATCTCTCTATATACTAAAACAACGTTCACTTTATCCATATGGATTAACACTTATAGATAGTCATAGAGATACTTCTAAGAAGTCTTTTTCACAATTTAAACTCTACAGCCAAAACGCAGAGAGAGGAAAAAGGGGAAGCAAATAAAAAATAATGCGAGATTTTTATCCACTTTGAATACATTTGCATTGAAAAAAATTGAAAGTTTTTTTGACTCAGACTGCTTTCCCAAGAAACTTCTCAACTGTTACACTCCTGTACTAATAAATTCCTTATCAAACTAAAAAAATTCATTCAAGAAAGCTACGACGACATACAAATCATTAAAGACTGATTCTTGATTTTAGTCTTTTCAGACTCTCTAATAGTCTCACTCTACGCAAAATTTTATTTTAAAGTCAATTTTCTGCATCCGCAGTTTGACAATATTCATTCTCAAGAATCATCAGAGATTGTAAAGATTACTTCCCCGCAGTTGACACAATAACCAATGATTGCATTTAAATATCAAAGGTCCTTAAGCACTTGCTACTAACCACCATGAAATAGATGAAACTGCAGAATGACATTGTAAGACACCAATTTACAGCAATTACGTAAATTCTCATCACCAGCACATAATTACTGGCAACCTGAATATCATACAAAACCATCAACTAAAAACACTAATGAGTTATGTACAAAATTAGACCAGTCAGAAACATGACTACAAATTACTGTTACAAGACTTTTCGAAAACAACATCAACGAATTTATAGTTAAAGCAAGCTTTCAACTGAATTTACCCATAGATACCTTCTTAAAATGGAAAGCTAAAATTCTTCACGCATATCCACAGAAATCAGTCACCTCAATTTAAAAGTACACTGAATTGGTCGCAACTTACATCAGATATTAGTAAATTAAAACAGCTTTTTACTATTACAAAAATAGATAAAGCAACTAATAACTTAGATTATATGAAAACAATTCTACACTGAGATTATTCATAAGAACTTCTCAACGCAACTACTTATCAATTAGCAACCTTACAGAAACATCTATAATAAACAGGATTAAAACTTTTCATAAGAAACTCATATTACTTTCAATGCAAACTACAACAGATTTACTATCTTTATGCGATTCCCAAATTCCATAAAACACCATTAAAATTTAGATTTATAGCTAATGGAACTAATAATTACAAGAAAATATAGACTATTATTTTCAATTCACTTAATAAAATCTGTAAATTTTTTCAATGATTGTAACACTAACCATAACTATTCTGGATCATTCATAATAACACTCCTTCATTAATACCATTCATACCATTAACATCCAAACATTAACTGCCTATGATTTTGAAACTTATATACCTCCCTTCCTCTAGAAGAAATCTATACCAGTTTACTTGATCTACCAAAATTTTCCCTAATATACTCAATAATGACTCTTGACAATGGAAACCTATCTAAAATGCACACTTTTTCATAACTACATCAAATTTCAAAATCAACTTTTTAAACAAGTCAGAGGATCGCCAATGGGCTTACATTCCAGCACTCGATCTGTAATATCTTTTTATTTGTCAAGAATTTAACTTCCCAAAAAATCTACAACCACAAGAGTTAAATTATTACAAGCACACCTCAGATATATTGATGACCTTATTACAATTAATAATTTTGGTAAAATTGAAACTCCGACATTTATCCGAATTGTCTTAAACTTAATAAAACTAATAATTCACAAAAATGCATAGACTTTCTAGATCTTCAAATCATTAACTACAAAAAAAATTTACTTTTTGACAAAACAAGAAACTTCAATTCAATACTAACAAATTAATAAATTGGAACTCCAACATATCCAAAAAGTAATTAACAATACTATAATTAATCAAATACAACGAATGAAAACTATATGCACAGATACAATAGATTTACAACGCCAAAATTTTGATCCTTATCAAAATTCTCAAAAATAATCTAATTCCCCTTCAATTTATCAACCATTGCCTTAAAGAGCAGGCGTTAAATACTCATCTAAATCATTTAACTGATAGGGATATGATAATTATTCCTAAACCTGAGAAGGCGGTATAAGTTGGATGACGTCAGTTGAAAGATTTGTATATAGTGTAATTACTCATTGTATATATTGTAAAAAGCTAATTGTCTCAGACATATACTGTTCTTTACTGTTACTAAAAAAAATGGGCCATTTCCTGCCTTAGACTGTCTATTAGCTCTTGGACAGCGAAAATGCCTTTTTCCTTTCTTAAATTCTTAATCATTGTGACACGACAATTAGCCAGAAATTAATTAATTTCCATTCACTAGTATTTTCAAAAAAATCTTAACAGAAGGTCTCTCTCAGATAAGAACTCCACAAAATACATCCCTCAAGACTTCCAAGTCCCACCCACATTGCGACACAACAATTAGCCAGAAATTAATTAATTTCCATTCACTAGTATTTTCAAAAAAATCTTAACAGAAGGTCTCTCTCAGATAAGAACTCCACAAATACATCCCTCAAGAATTCAAGTCCCACCATACCATAAATTACTTCACCAAGTCTTTTCCGACTGATATTATTCAAAGCCCCTACTGCCGCTAAGAATTTTCGGACACCCTACACATCTGAGTCAGACACGAAGAGAACACTTTGCCAACTCCCCCACTAGAAAGAATGTAAGTTACTTAATACCTTTTCTGGCCTTTTATATCTTCATGTACATTCACTGATCTTATTTATATTATTTTATATTATTATTTTTATGTTTTCTTTGATTTGTTTTTACAAAGTTTGCATTATTTATCTTTTTTATAATCTTCTATGTTTATTTTCAACTTTACTTTGAATTCGATTTCATAATGACAATTTCCAATGTTTAATTTCTACAAATAATATAGTACTCAAATACATAAAGATGATAGTGTCGGGGACGGTTACTCGAGTTTTACAGGATTTCTCTACAGTAATTGATTTTTACTCCAAATTGAATTGACTAAAATACTTCATGAGAATAAGTTCTTTGAGTAGCAACTATTCGCGGAAATTTTTGGCCTGACTAGAATTGCCGTTTTGGCTTTAACTTATAACTCGAGTAAAGACGAAACACTTTCATATTTACGTATTTTTATCAATTATTGTTCATTGAACGGGAGTCGGTTTGTTCCCCTTGAAAAGTCAACTAATTTCCGATCAATGACAATAATTACATGTTTAAATTTTCCTTTTACAATTGATATATTATTCTTCGTGATGATTTAACTCCAGTCCCCGTTAAAACATTATTAACATTTTGCTTTCAAATTACTTCAAAAAAAAAATCTTTCAAAATATAAAACTTACCAGTATGGATGACACTTTTAAAATAATTCTACTTTAATTAAACTTAGGAGATAATATAATCAATTAATCAATACTGTTTAGGAAATAAATTATTATATATATATATATATAAAACTAAAACTAAAGAGGAGATATTTGTATCTGATTGTCCTCTAAATCAGAAAATCTAAGTCAAAATAAGTTTACCTAATTTTAAGATTCATACTGGTGTGTTTTTCTTCCAAGATGATGCAAAATAACGCTTGAAACTGCATTTAAACATAACCTATCATTTTACCTAGCATAAGATTGTGCAACCTGGGACTGTAACTGGAATCACTTTCATAGTAATTACGCCAGTAATGTAATTAATGTCATTTCTTCCTTGCTATTGTTCCTGCCATTTCTTCTTTGCTCTTGTTCCTGTCATTTTTTCTTTGCTATTGTTCCTCATATAATTAAATGCTATATCAACTACCAAGTGGTAGTTAGCATAGCATTTAGAGGGTCTAGAAATATGACAAGAAGTCTTTTTAAATCCCCAAGCTTATAAAAGTGTTATGAATATTCAATTTTATCAGTTTTAATTAATAAAAACTGTATTTATCTGATGCTTTAACATTATCGTATGCTGCTAACTTTTTCAGTATGCATGATGTTCCAAGGCTAATAATTAGAATTTCTATAATGTTATTTCTTTCAATATAATAAATTCACTACGAATTTTAAATGATATTCAGTTGTTGTTAGCTATTTTATACAAAAATATATTGCCATATATATAAAAAATAATAAAGACATAAAATAGACGTAATATATATACTAAATAATAAGACGTATCAAATTTTAATCTTTTTTTTTTTATTCTTTTCCTCCAAAAAGGCAAAGGAAAACAGAAAAATAGGAGTTCAGTGAAGTATGGAATGCACGTCGAATTTAGCGATTTCATTGTTAAATAATGATTTTATTCTGGGTAACTTACATCATGATCACGGACAGTGCACAATGCCGAGGTTATGCAATTCTCCGATTTTTTTTTTCTGAGAAAAAAAAAGGATTTCTCAAAAAAAAAAAAAAAAAAAAAAAAAAAAGGTAAGTGCGTAATGAACATCAAATTAGAACTTCAAGATGTTTTCTTCTTAATGTGGCATATAATCCTCATTAAATAATCAAATTTTGCATTTTAAATTGCTAAAGCTTTCTTTTAATATGTTGATAATGTTTGCCTACTTACAATAAATAGCCATAGTTCGTGGATCTTTAAAAAAATATTCTCCAAAATCTTCAACCGAAAAATAATTTTGACAGTTAACTTAATTTTGACTTCCTTACAAAAAGTGAACTGATTTACTTAGGATCGCGGTCACATAAATTCAAAGCGAAGTTCTTATAAGTGAGATGCGAAGTTATGCTTATCCATTTTTGGCGATAAATCGCACTGTTTGGATAAAGTTTTCGTTTGCCAAGAAGTACTTTATTTTTAATAAAGCAAATGATACTCAGTTATAGTTTTATATTTTACTCAAAACACAAGTTGCAATACATAAAAAATTAAGTAATAATTTCTAATAAGCGATAAAATCTTACCAAATTCATGAGGCAGTTCATGACAAAACACAGCAATGGCTGTGGAGAGACCTCCTCGAATTCCTGTGGAAAATGCGGCTCCGATTGCAAGACCGTCGCCAAAATTATGAATGGAATCACCAAGAGTGACAACTATAGCCATTGATGTAAGACCTATTTTAGAAATAAAATGTTTTAACATTTTTCAGCCATTAACAATAAAGTATCTTTTTTTTTTTTTTTTTTTTAAGTAAAAATATACAAATATAGAGAAGTCACATATTTATTTGCATCAGAAAAATTGGTACCTGTTTTTAAAGCAGCAACAACAGCAGCATACCTTTTTTTAAGCACAGCGCTTAATAGCCAAAACTGGCAAACTTACTCGCTTAATCTGTAATGTGCAAATTTCAAATGTCGCCAAAGGCTTATATGTAGGCACTTTAACAAGGCATCTAGAGGTCAACTATTACAACTTTTTTTACAGAGGTTTATAGTGTTCTATAGAAATTCCTACAGAACTTTATAGGAAATATTGTATAGAAGTGCTTTGCTTTACAATATATGTACAATTTGTGCTTCTCTATAGAATTCTAAAGAAATTGTGTAAAGCTTTCTCACAGCAGAATTCTAAAGACATGTTGCTTTGTAAACTCAGATAGAAATTTTAAAAAATATTATGAAATGGCATTCATCGGATTCTTCAAACTATAATCAAAGAAAATTTTTAGTTTTTCATGTATTGTATGGAACATGGAAGAAGAAAATTAAACATTTTTATTCATAAATTCTAATTCTCTCCATCCACTCAAGGAATAAACATCAATATTAACACATCAAAGAAATTATTCGAGATAGATCATTGGGAATTGAAATAAAGAGTTTAATGTTAGACAGGATACAGATACGTTTGTTGTTCATTTTAATTTAAAGCATTATTCTGGCCATTAGAGAATCGGAGGTTTAATAATTAAAATGTCTAAGATGCTGAGAAATTCAAATATTTTAATCTTATGTTTAGGTTGCACAGCATGCAGAATTTACACAAACATTAATAAATTATGCATGTTCCATAATTTAATGTATAACTAACATAAATTTGCATAATTTGTAAGATTTCACATTCAATAAATTAGGGATGTTGCACACTTTGTACAATTTAATAATCTCAGCATCTATTTCTGCAAAGTGTCTACAACTATTTAATTTCAGCGCTGTTAAAAACAGTTAATAAGCTTATCATTAATTTATTTACTTACCTTTTATGTCATAGCAAACAACATCTATATGCTTATATTGCGTTATAATTATATTTTATTGCAACATAAAATTTTGATAATCCTTAATCATCAAATTATCTAGACAAATACATATATAATAAATGTAAATGAAATTACCCAAACACAGCGGTTTAGATACCATAAGATTTGGAGGCTTTTTCATAGCTTCAACCTCAACAACTTCAGTGTCTAAAGATGAGCTGGATTGTTCCCTGGATACAGGCTAGAATGAGAAAGATGTTATGTTCATAAATAATTCATAAAATTTTAATGTATACATTTTATCATACATTAATCATTGGAAAGCTAAATAATTTCGTGATTAAATTTGTGAACAGAAAAGAGTGATAGAACCATCGATGTAACATACTAAAATTCACAGAAGTTGTTTCTCATTCACATGAAAGGAGAATAATGTTGGGGATATGAATATATGAATGATGCCGGTGCTTTGAATATTAAACTCTGCCTTGATAAAACTAACGTAAAAAAATGAATATTGCATTAATAGACATGCTTCGAGAAAAACATTCATCTCCCTCCCTCTCTCGTAGCAAACCAAAAATCAACGTGTAAATGCAAAATATGCGTGATTCAATATTTTCGGTCTCAATTTACTGTGAATTCTATGCCTTTAAAGTCCCAGTGACATTTTTCGGCAATGCACTCCGAAAAATTTGTAGAAATTCCGCGGCAAGGAAAATTATGTTCGAAACATAGATGCCATTTTTTCCACTTCATGCATTTACCACTTCATCTACATCTCTTACTTTTCTATTTATTTAAAACGGGTCTCCTTATATTCATGAGGGCAGTGCCTTATATTCTTTCAATCATTTTAGCATTTTAAAACGCGGTATGGCAACAAAAAGACCTTTTGTGTTGAAAAATCAAATTACATGCTGACATGGAGCTGATAATGAAATTGTTTGTATGGATGTATCTTATTGTCGAGCCTACGTAATGCTGTCGACTCTACGCTTTGAAGTCGAACCTATGTAATGCCGACAACTGCGGCGACTCTATGCGGCGCGCATATTTGCTTGATCATGCTATATTTATGCGTCTACACTACTGTATGCAAAGCTTCCAGAAAATTACGCATATTTGACTGGCAAGCAGTTTAGTAGAAATTGGAGGAAAGATTAAGCTAAGTTAGGCTGTTGGAATATCGCAAAATCCACAAAGGGAGGGATGCCTTCGTGGAGGACTTTCTAGAAGAAACTGACTCGTATGCACGTTACAAAACGGGTTATACCCCGAAACACAACAATGTAGCAATCTATTTGTCTGGGATCAAACATGGGTCGAACTTCCAGTATTTAGCAGTTTTAAACACTCTGTCATTGGTAGGGCAAACTGAGTGAAAGAATTAGCAATTGTATGAGTTTTAATGTAGAGACCTGGTCTTCTCAGTAAGGGGAATTCCCCTTTGTTAAGAACCCTCGGCTTATGACAGATCTCTTTATGTTCCTTCTTCCTTCTCCCAAACCTTCCGCCAACCTAAATATATAAGTAAGGGTGATAATTTTTTTTTCGTTGACAAATTTGATAGCGAGTTTTCTGTGAACAAGCATGAATTAGGGTCCCCACAACACATTTTAACTCTTTTCACAATAATGTCTGTCTGTGTGTAATGATTTTTTTTGGTCCAAGATTTCTTTTATATTGAACTTCCAATAATTTCTGTTTTCTTTAATTAAGTTTTCTGTGTTCATAAGAACAGTTGATTAGATACTGGGTAAAACTGGACAACCTGAAGTGGTAATACTTAAAGCTCATAACAATTTTTAATAAACAACCGGAAACGGTATTTGAAGTTCACAACAAGTTTTAATGAAAAAGTATTTTAAAATATAAATCAGAGTCATTGAATTTTAGTATTTAAGACATTTATGTCAATGAAAGGACCGTATTAGACTTTGGATAAAATAGATAGATCGAAAGTAATCTGAAGATTTTCGCGAAAAAATATATTATGAGATAATTCATAACTTATATTTTTCTTATGTTCCTTCCACCTTGTTAGCAGCTTCGGTATTAAGTAAGGTTTTATGTATTTATTCCTTTTAAAAATATATCATAAGGTATGAAAATGCCCCCCCCCCTTTTTTCCTCTTGCGTCCTGCATTTTCGTGCACTAATTACTTTTAGGCCTTTTCACAACGCTGTTGAAAATTTTTTATGTTAGGGCGTTGATTACCGTTATTTGCCATGAACTAATTTTAGGGAGGATTCCTAGAAGAACTTGCTCCGCTGGAAGCGAAGCTACGGAAAAGATGTCCCGGCTACGCGGGATATTTTAAAACTTCGTCGAAAATGTTCCGTCTGAAGCTCTGTCCCGCGTAGAGATCAACCAATCAGACGAAAGTTCTGCTTCTGAAGGATCACACGATCCCAGTCTGTGCGATAATCGATTACTGTTTGGTGTTCAAGTCTGTTTAGTAAGTGAAAATGGTAACCTAGCTACGTAGGTTTCGTGGAAATGTGCGGCTTTTGAGAAATGTCCCTTTCGATGTCCTGTCCCGCGTAGCGGAGCGCATATGTGACAGGAACCTTAATGAGTTGCATAAGATTCATAGAACATATATAAGTTAGCTAAAAGCATGAAATATGCTATGATTTATTACATTAAATAATTCTTTTCCGTTAGAAGTTTACATAAAACGCGTTTCCGAATAAAAACTATAATTCTGAATGAATAAATTATTAAAATTAGTTTTTCATGGTATATTCCTGCAAAGTTGGATGTAGATTTCCGTTACAATGTATATCATTAATATGTGATTTGGTGTTATGGCAGCTATTCGACCCAAATGGAGCAGGTTTTAATTTTAAATACATCCGTCAATTTCAAAAACAGATACTCTTTATCTCAACTACAATTAAATACAAATATCGATGATTTGCAAGACAATACGTAGTTGAAGATATTGATTAAAATAATACTTCTAAATAAAATCAAACTCTCTTAATTTACATTTATTAGAGTCCACTCTTCCGACAGTCTCCATACCTTCTGCCCCTACCATCAAGCCAAGAGAGGACTTTCGGCTCGCTAGTATTTAAAGTGCTTGCATGCTGCGCAGACACTATAGACTTAGTTCAGTTCATTCAGTAGACTATGAGTAAGGACACGTGGTCTTTTCCAGAGCTTAATAGCATCCATCATTAACTAAATTTATTTTAATTTTAAATAATAACCAATGTATTTACATTTTTCATATTACAATATATAATTTAAAAATTTGAGTTATACTTACATGAAAGAAAACTAAAAATAAAATGCAACTGCGTTAGAAATAAAAAAAATTCATGAAGTCCACAGTTAAATGGAGTCCATAAAATTCGATCAAACAAAAAATTATAATGTCGTGATAAGCCTCTGCATCTTATGTTTATAAAATAAAGTAACTATGTGCAAGCTTATAATATAAAGGCATTTTAAAAGAAAAAGTAAATATCCTACTATTATATTCATATTTTTATTCGGAATGACAAATATCTTTTCCCAATGCAGAGAGTAGATTCATAATTTACAAATTTTAAGAACAATAAATCTTCAAGTCCTTGCGTAATAAGGAATCTTTTGAAAGAAATTAATTAGCTGCAGGAAAGTTAATATGTTGTTTCTTCAAAGGGCATTACAAACATCGAAACCTTCTTCAGGATTTGAGACGAGGCTGAACAATACATCAGTCAGTATTGTTAACCACTACATCGATCACAGGCAGCCAGTTCAAATGTACTTGCTAAACTTAGCTTTCTAATAATAAGAAGTTCTTACACTTCGAACTACAGAATTTCACCCGGACTAACTATTAAGCAATATAAGTACGCGTTTGAGGATCAAAGAAAGAGGGCGCAACAAAAAGTTTCTTAGGTATTCAGAAAAAAAAAGGGGGGGGGCACCAAAAATTTTTCCACTGCCGGTTTTTACCAATGATATGGTGCAAACCGAGAGAGAGAAGGAATGAAGAAAAATTTGGTGTAAACATATATAGGGCGCAAAATTCTTTTAAGTACTTAGGACTTCTAAAAGTCCAAATCTGGCCCAGCCTACAATGGTTAGAAAATTTTATTCCAAAAGCTAGGCCGGAAAGGAAACGCAGAATTATCAATTGATTCGCAAGTACTATAATTTAATTTTAGCAATCACCACGACTATAATTATCTTTTAGAACGACGACTGCTCGACGAAATCACGAAGAATTCCGCTCAAAGCTAAAATGGCACACTTACCAATTGTGTCTCTGACTTGCTCTTGACCGATATAAGTGTAGGTATTTCGTCCGGAAGGTGAACATGACTGTGACCGTGTCCCTTGTTATCCTGGAGAAAAGGACAAATATCTAAATTAATTGAAAAAAGTTTATTTGTCTAGAATTAGTAAGAAAACTGAAATTAATAAAATAAATTAAGGAAATAAGAAACAATGGTCCCAATTTTTTTTTAAAGTACTTCTTTGAAAATGAAATATCCGCATACTTAGAAATCCCACATTTCTTTAATTCAAGCAAGGTTTGTTAGTATGATCGTATTGTTTTTTTCTCGATAGATAGACACGTATAATTAACATATGAATGACTCATAATTTTGAAAGCTGCCCATAAATGTATACGGATGTATGCGGAGCCTAAGATATAAAACAACAAAAGAAAATTATAATTTCGCAACAATGGCGTTTTGCAATTGATGTAAAACAGTTTGAACTCTTAATAAGGAGAAAATACCATAACAACATTTTACGCCAATTAAACTTCTTGAATATAGAGGTCGCAAATGAATATTAAGCTGAAACCTCGGTTGACGCTTTTTGAAGCCCGTTAGTTTTCAGAAATTTACCCCATAAAGCAAAATGAACTAATTCGGTCTTGGATCACAAATGATCACGTATCTGAACTTTCCAACAGTGTTTTATATGTAATTTCATAACACAAAATGAAAAGGATCATTTAATAAAACATCATAAAATACAATTAAAAAGTTTACACAATACAACTTTTTTCACATAAACTTTTATTTAAAATGTATATGATAATGAATGCACTAAAAGGAGAAAAATAATTTATCATATAGTTTAGTGGGATTAAATAATTCTATTGCGAAAATTTTTCTACAATTTTATATCTCTAATAATAAAAGCGTGGGACGCCTGAACAACGAAATCTATTAACTGAATTTCATTGCCAAATGTATAAACCATTATCTTTTATAATTTATCTTGAGCGTCTCACGCTTTTATTATTCGCGATATAAAATTGTGAGATGAATTACGTCGATAGAATAATTTAATCTATTATTTTCATTAAACTAATTATTTTTTTCCTTTCAGAGCATTCATTATTATATCCATTTTAAAAAAAAAGCTTATTGTAAAAAAATCTTTTTTTTTTAAATTCGAATTTTCTCTCTGTTTTTCAATCTCTGTTTCAGGTTTTCAACAAAAAGGTTATAAAAACTAATATTGCCAATTCGTCATCAAGTCCGCCAAAATGGAAAGCTCAAAGCAGTGTTGCACAGGAAATTCTTTTTTTCTCTATCTACTTCGGACTGTAACCCTTTTTTTTTAAAAAAAAATATTCAGAATATCTATCAATTAATATTTTTTTTCTACCATTCGTGTTTTAAAAAGAGGACCAAAATTTTGTTTTATAATCAGTGAAAATTTCAAAACTTTACATTCGATATATTTTTAGGTGATGAAATTTTAAAATCTTAAATATCAATCTAAAAAATCCAGCGATTTTCAACATTCACAAGAAATTCAGGAATTAAGGTAATTTTCATACAAGTTTCATTGAAAGGCCTTTTTCGCACTGTATTCGATGGCTTAAACACTATAATTTACTTTGTTTAATGAAGATATGTGCGAAAAATATTAAACAAAGAATCTAAATCGAGTTTTGAAAAAATTCACTTTATCGCTTTGCATTGTCATCGATAAAGAGTGTGTGTACAGAATTTGAACTAGACAGCTTATCAGGAAATAAGTTTAAAAATCAATATAAAATTCCACTCACAATGAAACACCATAACTGAACTAAAGCTTATAAAGGTAAACACAATACTAAGCAAATAAAACCGATTAAACATTATTTAAATTCTACCGTAAACGTACAAATGATAGTGGGCAATATAAATGGAAAATAACGAGGAAGAGAAAAGTAAGAGATATTATTGTTCATATCAGAAATCCCGTTGCATAAAAACATTAAATATTTGTATTTCTTTTATAACACGAGAGGTATTATCAGTCTCAATGCTCCCCCTTTTTTTTTTTATCCGTAGCACATTTTTAATAAAAGGATGTTGACGACAAGTTTTTCTCGTTAGTCATTATTTTTAAAGAAAACTTATATATGTGTAAAATAAAAATATGAAACTTATATATGAAAATAAAAATATGAAAGTTACTAATTTTAACTTGGCTACGTTCCCTCCCTAGACTATAAAATGCGTCACTTAAAAAACTAACCGCATCTGCGTTGGCGTAATATCTTGTCCAATCACCATTCAGAACTTAAATTCAAAATTCGACTTTTGTAGGATTTCGCTGAAATGCATGCTCACTTTCCTACTATCTCTTGCCCTGGTAACGTGTGTCATTGCTTCGCTGCTGTCTAAAAATGCGGTAGAATGTCTAAAAATGTATATAGAATTGTGGAGTTCTTGTCGCATCTATAGTGATGTGAAAAGGAGAAAATGTGCCATAAAAAATAATTCATCAAGGAATAAAATTAAGTGTCGTGTTATTTACAAAGTACTCAATGTCTGAAAGTTTCTTCTTCGACACGTAACTATGCCAGCATCATCTAGAACAATCGGCTACGATTACAATTATTTGTGTCTTCTCATTCGCATTCCTAAAGCAAAGCGCAACTTTCACTCAATCTTCATAATTCTTTGAAATTAACATTTTGAAACATACAATTTATGACAGAGAGAGATAAGCGACAGCATCTGGCATGAAGCAAGCAAAGAAGTAGAGTGCGTAGTTGTCCTGGAAATTTTGAGTTTTAATTCCGAATTAGCTACATCATCATCGTTATGTAAAGGATGGAAAGAGCAAATATCCAAATGAAAATGAGCAATAACGGGACTACTGCAAAGTTAGTAGTTTGCTTTAATATTTTTATATGTTACATTTATATACATATACATGATAACATTTGACACTGTATCGAGAATTCCAGATATTCTGTTTTTAAATATTTCGGAATTTCGCTGTTGAATATTATGTCACGTTAATGCGAAGAAAGTCATCTCTAATGAATAAAGTTAAAAAGACAAAAAGTTAATAATAAAAAGACAAAAAAGTTGTTAAGTCATCTTAATATGAAAAACTTATAGGCTAAACTGTATGCTTATATATATATATATATATATAAATTTTTAAAAACATATATATGCTTCTTTTAAAAATTTTGTGATTTTGTTGAATTTTATATGGCATAACTGTGAAGAAAGTGATATTTAATACCAAAGGTAAAAAACAGTTATGTCTATAATCCTGTTAAGAAATCTGAACATTGATAGGATGAACTGAGAAAAGACTGAAAAAATATAAAATGTATGGCAACACTTCGCACTCTATCGGGAATTTAAAAATAAACTGCTGTTCAAATATTTTTGATTTTACATTTGAGTTTTATGTACTGCAACTGCAAAGAAAGCGATGATTAATAATAAAGTCCAAAAAAAGTTGTGTAAGCAAGAATAAATCCAAGGAGATTGGTAAACTGTAAGCTTGGCGAGAGCATAAAAAAGCCTAAACAAACTTTCTGGTGCTACGTTAAAATCTGAATCTTTTTACATATTAGTCCTTTTTCGCCCTTTGTTTTCTTTCTTTCTTTTATTTTCTTTCTTTATTTTTTTAAATCTGTACTAGACTTTGCCGGGAAATTTCATTAGCTATATATACTTGTTACACATTTTTTTATTCCATCGAAACTTTTGAATGAAAATTACGAATATCAATTAAGTTATGATCACGGGAAGGGCAGTCACGAAAACAAGAACGTGGAAAGACGAAACAAGATTCACGAAAACACAGAACGACGAAAACAAGATTCTTGTTTCCTTCACGAAACCAGAACGTGGAAGGGCAGTCTTTTTGAATTCATTAAAGTTTTACAAAATATGAAATAAATCATTAAAATGTATAACGACATTTTATGAAAGTATATAATATTTTTAATTAAACAGATTATGAATTAAACGCATTTTCGTTATTTAAATCAATCCGATTCAAAAGTAAGAAACGTATGTTCTAAGAACTGCATCTATTGCTTTCAAATAGCTTATTTAATTAATCCTAAAGAGACAGTTTCAATTTGAAAGACAAATATCTCAAATTTTGCCGAATGGCAATAGACTCGAATGAAATGTGAAACGACGCATTTATAGTGATTCGATGCAAAAATTAATAACTGATTTATTGATTGCACTGAAGGAGGATGTTCAAGCACAAGTCTTATTAAAACACATTTACGTGTGTTAATTATGTGTTTCTATGTAAAGAATGATAAGAATCTTAAGGAGTGAGGTACCTTTAAAATGCCGAAATATCCCCCAAAATACTTAGATATATTTAACTTTCAAAACTACTACGGTTTGCGTCATCATCCACCCTGAATCTTTCAGTTTTGCTTTTAATGCAAATCCACATTGCCACTTTAAAATTTGCATTAACACGAAACTGTCGATATAGATAGAGATTATAGATTGCGCATGACTTGCCCTTAGATGTTTCAATAAAGATGAATCATTTTATATAAATGCTCTGAAAAGAACTCGGAAAAACTAATAACACACAAGAAGCACTCAAAGTAGAAATAGACACCGTTAAGAAAAATCATGTCAGTAAACCATCTCATGTCAGTCTACAACTGCTTACACCTGTTAGATAATTTCATGTTTCATGTGCGCAAATACCACTTGTGTGTCGCCATGTGTGCAAGTGTCACATCAACAACCAACTTTCAATATCTAGAAGAGCTTCTGTATGGCACGACGAAAACATTTTCGAGGAAAGAGCGAATCAATTTAGGAGTAGGAAAAAATTGCCGATTATGTTTCTAAGTAATGCAATTAAAGATTGCATATCCGCGCGTGTAGATAAGATTACTAGATAGCTATATCCCATAGAAACATTCTTGAAACAAATGGTGACTGCGGGTTGCCAAGAACATATAAATGGGTAATATTCGTCACGGAAAGTCTTATTAGCAAAAGAAAGTCGTCACGTTTCTCATTTTCCTCCAAGCATTTTACGATTTCGCCGATTTTTACTTTTATAAGACTCGTTTTTCCCGTGAATCTTTCTTTTC